GTTAAGTTTCTAGAGGACGAATTCGTTCTCAAAAGAACTATAAGCAAAGAGATGGAAATTAATGAGATTAATAATGAACCACAAACAAGCACTCGACATATTGACAACCCTGTTCCTGAACCCCTAGCTCCACGTAGATCTGAACGGGTTAGTAAGCCACCTAAGAGGTATGGCTTAGACAATGACTTTGCGGAATTGCACCTTCTAGGTGACAATGACACAAAGGAGGACCCTAGGGACTACACTGAAGCAATGTCCGACATTGATTCAAAGAGATGGCAAGAGGCCATGAAATCCGAGATGGATTCCATGTATCAAAATCAGGTCTGGACTCTTGTAGACCCTCCAGAAGGTATTGTACCTGTTGGAAACAAATGGGTCTTCAAGAGGAAGATAGGCGTTGATGGGAACGTGGAAACTTATAAGGCTAGACTAGTAGCCAAAGGTTACAGGCAAAGAGAAGGGATTGACTATGAAGAAACTTTCTATCCTGAAGCCATGATTAAGTCCATTCGGATTTTGCTTGCTATAGCTGCGTACCATGATTATGAGATATGGCAAATGGACGTGAAGACGGCCTTTCTGAACGGCTACCTAGAGGAAGAGCTCTATATGACTCAACCCGAAGGTTTCGTGTCCAAGTCTGAAAAGACTAAGGTATGCAAGCTTCAAAGGTCCATTTATGGACTTAAGCAAGCCTCCAGGAGCTGGAACATTCGTTTCGACACTGAAATCAAAACGTTTGGTTTTACTCAAAACGAAGACGACAATTGTGTTTATCAAAAGGTCGTTGGGGAAGCAGTAGTATTCCTAGGGTTATATGTAGATGACATATTACTATTCGGGAATGACACTGCAATACTTTCTTCTGTAAAAGTGTGGTTGTCCAAAACCTTCCACATGAAAGATTTAGGAGATGCATCTTATGTACTTGGGATAAAGCTCTATCGTGATAGATCCAGAAGATTAATTGGATTATCCCAATCTATGTACATTGATAAGGTGCTAAGTAGGTTCGAAATGGAACAATCTAAGAAAGGTTTTCTTCCTGTAAGACATGGAATTCACCTTTCTAAGGCCATGGAACCTAAGACTCCTGAAGAGATACGGCAAATGAGTTATATTCCTTATGCTTCCGCCATAGGAAGTCTCATGTATGTCATGATATGCACAAGGCCTGATATCGCATATGTTGTGAGCATTACTAGTTGATATCAATCTAACCCAGGATCAGAACACTGGGCAGCTGTCAAGACGGTCCTTAAGTACTTAAGAAGAACTAAGGACATGTTCCTCGTATATGGAGGAGTGACAGAGTTGCGAGTGGAAGGCTATACAGACGCAGATTTCCAATCTGACGTCGATGATAGAAGTTCCAACTCCGGATATGTATTCACTCTGAATGGTGGGGCTGTCAGTTGGAAGAGCAAGAAACAAAGTGTAATTGCTGATTCCACAACAGAGGCTGAATATGTCGCTGCAGCTGAAGCCGGCAAAGAAGCGTTCTGGATGAAGAAGTTCATCACTGAACTTGGGGTGGTTCCAACCATTACATCACCAGTAACTTTGTACTGTGATAATAGTGGGGCGATAGCTCAAGCCAAGGAACCCAGGGCACATCAAAAGAACAAGCATTTTGACAGATGCTTTAATATCATTAGAAGATATGCTGCCGAAGGGAAAGTCAACATTCTCAAAGTTGCTTCAGCCGATAACGTAGCAGATCCACTGACAAAGCCAATGTCTCAAATCCAGCTTAACCGTCATATGGATAAGATGGGTATTAGATACATGGGAGGATGGCTTTGAGTGCAAGTGGGAGATTGTTGGAAGTATGCCCACAAAGCCACTCATTTGATGTAATAGCTTTTTGGAATACTTAATGTATTAAACTTTTATATGTTTAATGGAGGGCAAAGCTTATTGTTAATCACTATTTATTGTATCATGTGTTTAAGCAATAAGGGAATCCAAGGGATGTATTTGTTCTAAGAGACAAGTGATCTAAGTGAGTTAGATTATCGAGACCATTCTCTTATGTTCATTCCTAAAACGTTCCTAGCCATAGGATTGCCAATTGGGCATTGACAATCCGCTAAGGTTAGTATGTGTTATGTTGACTCAAGCGTGAGTATGACTAGTCTCAAGTCATTTGGTGTTGGACACTAAGACAAACACATAGGTGCTCAAAAGAGTAATCGAGTACACTGAACTACGATCAAAAGAGAGTTCGAACATACATGTCATGTATGAACTCTAAAGTTGCAATATGCAAAGTAGTTCTTTGACCAGAGGCATCATAGATGTCTAATGGTTAGGTCCTTGATCTTTGATCATGTCAAACGGCATTCCATCGGAGTGTCCACGGCATTGTTGGGGTCAAGCTATCTAGTCATGTAGACATATGAATGCACAACAAGGGATCTCTAACCTTCCATGGTGGAAGGAGAATACTCTAAGATATGATTCTAAAGTCTTTGGCCAAAGCAAATGAATATGACTTAGGAAGTTTGTTCCAAATCATATTCAAGGGAATCATATAGGAAAGTATCACATTGGATAGTAGACATGAAACAAACTATCACTTAAACAATGTGATTAAGAGTATTGTATTAGAGAATGACCGTATTGCATTGTAGTTGTAACTGGATAGGTTCTCCAACCAATTCTACTTAGCTTGGGTAACCATGATATTCTGCTAGGCGTCACTCATGGTTTGTGGAAGCCCTAATGGTTAGCAAACACTAATCAATAAAGGGAGAATTGAAATGTGGTTTCAATTCACAATCGATCGTTAAGAGTAACAATCGCCCACTGCCTCGTTAATTGGAACCGAATGGATCGTACACTGAGTAAGGATGTATGTGAAGAAATCAAATGAAATGGATAAGCAATTAAATGGTTTAATTGAAGAATGGTCAAGATTAATTAATTTTACGAAAGGTTCGTGTTGGGCTTATATGTTGGTTTTGGGTTTCGGGGCCCAAAAGCGTTTTGGTCCAAAAGGCCCATTATGTTTAAGTTGTATGACAACTAAAACAAAATGGGCAAATAGCCCAATAACATCAAAGAGGCCGGCCATTAGGGTGGATGGGCAAACTTGGATTAATTACAAGTTTGCCACTCACTTGTAATGAAGTATAAATTCAACTTTATAGCTTTATTTTCAAAAAGGGTTTTCTAGTTGAAATTGGGTGAAACATTTTCTCTCCATTTTTCTTCCAAGAGGCCGGCCACTAAGGGAAGGGACATCTGGCAATCTCTACTTCCCTAAGTCATCCATATCATCTTCACAAGATACATCCTTGGTGAAGAGACTTAAAGACATCAAACTTTTGGTGTTTTGGAGAACATATCCTTATTTCCTCAAATCTTCAAAGGAGCACTAAAGGGAGGAAAACACAAGGAGGATTCAAGGAGCTTGGAGGTGACTTGAAGGCCCTCCACTTGGGTGAATCCCTTGTGTAAACAAGGATGAGCTTCAAGAGTAAAGAAACTCTAAATCTTTACTTCTCTTTAATGTTGTTAAAGAGTTTATTGGTTCACCATACTAGGCTTTGAAAGTCATGGGTTTTCTGAATTGTTTTTTAATGCATGTCTACTTTAAAGTGTTAATAGCTTGCCTTTGTATTCAAATGTTCATACTTGTTCTTGGCTAGGACAAAATTTTTCCTTCAATACCAAAGTTTAAACCCTGAATTTTTTAGATCCTTTGCCTTAAGACCAACCCACTTAGTTTCTTGTAGGCACATAATATTTATCCTTCTCCTCACCATAACTTCCACTACTTCCATAGATTTTCCCGTTAAGGTTCCTATATTCCACGTTCCTAAACGCATTCTACTCTCTTGAACTCTACCCTTTTGTCCTAGCTTCGTCACCCTCCCCCGTCCAATAGGATCAAAGTACTTCTTTTGTGTGTCCTGGGTAAAGTTGATAGGAGCATATGCTCCCAAACAACTTTGAGTGGAGTCGTTCGAAAAGAAGTTTCTATGGCCCTTTTGCTCATTTAACACTGCATCCGAGTGCCGATGGAGATACAGCGACCCTTGCTCACTTATCACTGTGATCGGGCCACACAGCGCGCCACTTACGGGTGACGCCCTAGCTTTAGCGCGATTTCGTTCTGGATTCATTTTCATAAGGATTCGACGTAACTGTGGAGTGCCGGCTGTCGACTACTTGACGCCCTCCCCCTCCTCCTTTACCCAGGCTTGGGACCGGCAATGTAAGATAAACTTACACATGCGGAGTTAACAGTACGTTTTCACAGTTGAATAAATTTAAAACTTAGTATTAAACATAATTAGTGAGTGCACAATAACAAGCACTTGTACGATTTTTTTCTTTCCTTCAAATACTCATGTTTTTTATGTACTCATTAATAATACAAGCAGAAGCAGCATAGAAATGCAACATATTTAGACGTAACTCAAACTATGGTATGTTTTGCCTAATTCCTCCTTCGAAAGCAAGCACGGGCAGATACGCCTATGCAGGTCCTTTAATGTCCACATAAAATTCTATAACCAAATTCATAAGCAAGAGACCAACACCGGAGATAAATAACTTGGTTTTCCAGGGGATCTCCCGTGGGGTTTCCATAGCTGCTGGTACCGGGAAAGCTTTCTTGAGGGCCAATGTGAAGGGGGTCAAGTTGGGTACCGATCCTCATGTTCGAACCATCAAGTGGCTTCCCCCCGCAGGGAAAGACATGGTCAAATGAACTTTGATAGTTCGGTGTCTAAGGATCGGGCCGCAACGGCTTTTGCTATCAGAAATTATGATGGCCAAGTTGTGGATGCGGGTGCCTTCAATCTTGATGGAATCACTATTTTGTTTGCTGAAAGAATGGGCTTAAAAGGACTCAAGTTTGCTCGGTCCAAGGGCTTCCAAAAGGTGATGATAAGAGGAAGACTCCAAGCTTGTTATTGAGGCGATTCAAGGAAATTGGGAGGTTCCTTGGAAGATTAGAACTATCATTGAGGATGCACGTTGTATCGCTTGCTCCTTTAGTCAAGTGGTGTGGAACCATATCTGCCAGGGAGGCAAATTTGTCGCGGATGCCTTAGATCATCTAGGTCCTTCGGTTGAGACTCCTCACATTTGGATCATTGCTTACCCTCTATTGCTCTTAATGCTTTTAATTTTGATAGTATGGGAAACCAGTGTTCTCGTGGCTTTTCACTTTGATGATTTTTTTTTTTTTTTTTTTTTGATAAAATAAAAATTTTTAAAAATAAATCAAACTTCGGCCCTTTAATTTTGGGCCTCCCCAGCCCGGCCTGCCCCAACTCAAGTCGTCCTCCCGAAATCAAAGAGGGCGCGCAGAGAAACCGAACGTTCGAAATCCGAATTAACTCGCCGAAGTAGCATAAGCTGGGAGAAGAAAACGTGGGTATTCAAATTGGGGGGCAAATAGAGAAGGTGAGCGGGAAAAAACTGGGGTACAACGAGTTCGTGGGGAGGTACTTGGAGAAAAACCAGCCTGTGGTGCTTACAGGTCTCATGGACGATTGGAGAGTGCAGATTGGGTCACCGACAACGGCCAGCCAAATCTTCAATTTTTCGCTACCCATTTAGGAAAATCCAAAGTTCAGGTACTAATTTCTTGCAGAAATCTGATTTAGTGAAATTAAATATGAATTACGAAGTGTGTTTAGAAGGAATTAATCATAATTAAGAAGATTGATTATGTGGTAATTAGATATTAGCTAATCTATCAGCCCTGTTTTGTTTTCTGCAGTTAAAGATTCAAGCCTTGTATTTTTGGTGTAATATTTCAGTGCTAAGTAGTTTTTAGGTGATGTGTGATTGTCATCAAGTCCATAATCTGGTATTTCTTCTATTTCTTCAAGTTTGTTTTGCCCCTATCATAAAGTAGAAGTATGAAAGCATGCAATGATTATAAGAGGTTTTCCAAGTAAATCACTCTCCATTTGCAGTGTGACCTTTATTGCCAGTATAACAGAAAACTTATAGCAGTATGTGCCTTCTGTTTAGCATTTTACATTTGCCTTTGGCTGATTGAAACGGACTTGGCCCTGCTTGTTTCATGATCTCAATATCCAGGATCTTGTTTTATCTCAAAACTTCATGTAGTGTAAATCAAGTTGTCGTTTCAGCCTCTTGCAACCCCTTCTTTTCAATCAAAATAACAACTATCTCATGCTTGATGAACGGATTTTTTTTCATCTTATTTGTGTTCATAATACTTTCAGGAAGATGCAATTTCCATAAACCACAACTGGTTCAATGCTTATAATATTCGTTGGGTGGTAAGTGGAACACTACTGCCAGAGTATCTCGTGTGTTAAATTTTAACCGTTCCATGTAAAACTAATGATGCTAGTGTTCTAGTGGCACTAATTTATATCTATTTAATTATAGTGGGATTTTCTTTAGGGGGACTACTACTACAAGGCTATGGAGTACATAGAAGACATCAAGGATATATGTGATGATTTTGAAGGTCTCTGCCAACAGAACCTTGCCGCTAATACAGGTAAAGTGCAAACTTTTGAAGAAAGCTTAAACTCAGTAGATGACAGTGTACTGTATCCTAATATTCTAGCAGATGAACCTGCAATAACCTAAAGCTTTGTTTAAATGAGGGTGGAAAAGGGAAAAATCCCAATCTGCTGGCTAATTTTTTCTTTTTAATGCAAACTTCAGTGATTTCTTAATCTTCCTAGCACGGTTCTCTTTGGCCAACTTGATCCAACTATGTTATCATGCTAGAAAGAATGGAAATCACAATCCGAATTCATCTGCATTAGCCCATGGATTTGCATGACTCTAGGCGTAACGGCTAAAGGAAGAACAGGCTCGCAGAACAGCCAATATTATGGCAGAATCCACAAAAGCCAATTCTAATACATAGTCGTTGAACAGATTCAATGACTCATGAGGACAACTAGTTTGAGCAAAATTTGAGATGATAGCTCCCCACATGACAATACGTGCTCATTTGCAAATTCTCTTTTCCTAATCAAGATGTCAAATTAAATAATTTTTTGGTTTATTTATAAAGTTGAGTGGGTTAGAATGGGATGCGTCTATATGTTGATTGTTACAAAGGGATGGGCAAAATAACCACGAATATGGGTAACTGCAGTTACCCGTCCATTTAAAACTCACGGTTACAGTTATGGGTAACCGTTTTAAAAAATAACGGTTATTTACCCGTGAAATTTAAATGGATGGTTAGGTGTATTACCCGTGGTTATAAACAGGTACCCATTTAATCGTTTATTTTAATATATTTGCTGACAAATCTTTGAACCCATCCGATGTTATACGAATACTAGAATGGAAATAATACCAAATTACAAATCAATGACTTGTGAATGAAAGACTTGTATCTATATGTAGTTTGTGGTGGGAGGGGAAGATCACATTCAGTTTCTCATAAAAACGAAGAGAAAAAAGACAATAATGCTTGCGAGGGCATGTGACAGCCTTAGCACGGAGCATTGGCCTCTGGCCATGGAGACATTTCCTGCAAGGGTGAAGAGAGATGAGCATCAGAAGATTGTAGAGAGGAGCTGGTCCAAGGGAAGACCTAAGGACGAATCAATGATCCAACAATTGATACTAACAATACTTGACACAATTATAGGAGAGGGATGGAAAGTAAGCAAATTCAAACTTTGATAATCAAATCGCTTCTTAATTTTGAGTAGTGTCACATGCGTGACCCAACATGAGATGGATGGCAACTGGAACAAATTCAAACTCTAGTGACCAAATAGCTTCTTAATTCTAAATTGTGTCGAATACTTGTTCCAATTACATGAGATGGTAAAATTCAAAATTAAAAAGCTATTTGATTACTAGAGTTTGAATTTGCTCCCGTTGCCATTCATCTCATGTTATTGGAACAAGTATGTGACACAATTCAAAATTAAGAAGTTATTTGATCACTAGAGTTTGAATTTGCTCCTGTTGCCATCCATCTCATGTAATTGGGTCACACATGTGGCACTATTCAAAATTAAGAAGCTATTTGATTACCAGAGTTTGAATTTGCTCGCTTTGCATCTCTCTCCTGTAATTGTGTCAAGTATTGTTAGTATCAATTGTTGGATCATTCATTCGTCCTCAGGTCTTCCCTCGGACCAGCTCCTCTCTACAATCTTAGAATGCTCTTCTCTCTTCACCCTTGCAAGAAATGTCTCCCACTTCTTGCCAAGAGGGAGTGGCCTAGTGATGGCCAATGCTCCCCTGCTAAGGCGCAAAATGCCCGAACTTCATCATTAGGCATGCTCGACACCCAATGCCAAAAGCGTTCTGCCCCCCTCCACCCTAATCTTCCCAAAGGCGCTGTCATGCACTATCCAGTACTTTTTCCCTGTAGAGCTGCTGCCATAACCTGCTATGCAGACCTGATGCAAGCCGTATCCATAACCACACAAGTGACACCGCTTGATCACAGCCTTCCCTTCATTCTCGCACGCGTATTCAGTGCATAACGCAATCCCATAAGGCATTGGGGGTACAATGGTCTCCTAAAACTGTTTAAAAGAGAGAATTCTATCAGAATTTTTTCAACACCAAGCGCATTGTAAGACAAATGGCATCCGCATCTTCAAAATGACGACCTTTTGCTCGACTTTGAAATCTCTAGAGACATGTCTGTAGCTCACTTTACCACATCTCTAACCTCTCCCACCTCTCATTTATTCACGCATTTCTATTACCTAGCCCCCACGAAATTCACCCAACACTCTTAAACCAAAGACAAGGCACAAGCTCATCTATTCCCAAAGCCTTGCCCTTTTTTATCATCCAACTCCTAGAAAATCCACAACAACCTTGAATATGTACAAAAACTCAAATCTCTAAACTTTCGTCAAAGCCTACCCATATATAAGTTAAAGTTTTACACTCATAATATTCAAAAAAGAGCAAGAGTAACAAGACAATACCTTCACAAAGGATAACATGCATGGATGCCAATCCAAAATGGCACAAATTGGGCCAAAATCAAGTGCATGTTTCATCACTTGTTCGCCCAACAATTTCTTAACTTCACCCAAGAAAAACAGCCCTTCCTTACCCTAGAAACAAAACCAACTTATTATCAACATTCAAAATCCAAAATTTAATAATTTATTTTACGAAGAATATGCAAATATATTTACCTTGGGGGCTAGCCCTACTGACAAAGGGCACCCTTTGCCATGACTTCGAAGCCACCCTCAGGCAAATTCGTGTCATCTGGTAACATGGTGTCTTTGGCACTCTCGATCATGCTAGTAATGTTCACTGATATGCGCTCTCCGGCCTCAATGAAGTATAGGACCTCTGCACACGTTGTTGTCAAGTACGCCCAACATAAGTTGGTATCTCCCTGATACTTCAACAGTGGCATTAAAGACCCCCAATCCACGTGATTCACAAAGTTAGGCTTCTGACTTCCCACTGTGACGGTCCAAGCCTGAAGATAGAATTCAATTTTTTTTTTTTTTGCCAAATGGGGAAGGGATGAAAGGGATTAAAGGAAAACAAAAACGTATGCTAATGGAACCTCCACTCCTCCCAAATCTGGAAGAAGAAAAAACAAGAATGTTGCTTTACCTTTCCAGCCAAAATCTTGTTATCAATTGTTTTTGGATATGTAGGAGTGGGTGTGTAGTTCGTCCATATCTTCACCTTGCTTTTCTTTGCGTGAAGCTCTGCAGCCTAAAAAAGAGGTTGAAGACTATCAGTATGCCCTTAATATGGGTCCTGACAGAGAGTTTGTAATTATGAACAAAATGATCATGCTGAAGTTAATAAAAACCAAAGGGGAGGGAGGGAAGGTGCAAACCTTGCTCTGAAGACGCCTCCTGTGGGGGGTGGGAAGCAACCATTAATTTGTACTTTAGCATGGGAGAGAAGGAGAGAGCGAGGCAAGATGGCAAAGATACAATAATAACCCAAATCACTGCAAGGAAGTTTCACTTATAACCTTTTTTGAAGAAGAAACAATATCACCCAGACATTTAGAAACTATGAAAACAACACAAAACTAACTAATAGCCGCATTCTAGTTACGCCAAATTTTTGAAAAAGACAAATCTCTAAATTCTATAGTAATCGAGGCCCATAGAGATGACCATAACCGAACATTATCCCACATATCCTCCCTTCTACTGCCTTCGTTGTCCTAAAAAATCTGCTTGTTTCTTTCCATCCAAATGACCCAAAAAATAGCTGAAACTATACATCCCATAAGACCTTGATTTTCTTCCCCTTTCCTAATAATTTATATTCCTCTACCATAAGAGAATAACAATGCCTGGGTAAAACCTAACTAATACCGAACTCCTTAAACAATTCAACTAGAGAATTAAAGTCACCGGACAGTGAACAAACAGATGGTCAACAGACTTCGAACTTTTCTTGCATAAAATGCACCAATCAGGTTGTAGACATGATTCAACAATAAAAACGAATGAGAATCACCTTGTCTAAGTCCTCTTGACGCTCCGAACTTACCCCTTGATTGGCCATTTATTATGATGGAAAAGTTGGTGGATTTCCAGCAGCCCAATATCCATTTTCTCCACCTATCACCAAACCCTTTTCTTTCCAACTCATTAACTAAGAGATCCCTTTCGAGCCCATTCACTTATAACCTATTTGCTCCAAGATTACATAAATGGTAGATAAACATAATGGTAAGCAGAGAATTATAAATCGATACAATATTATTCATGAACTGGAACCAAATTAGAAGTTAAGACTCCATTCATTTGAACTAAGTTGTCTTAACATAGCAAAGAAGCAACTATATATAATCAACCTAAAACAAAAACAATATATAATCGAATACACCCCATTAACGAAATCAACCTAAAACAAACCCCATTAACTAAATCAACCTAAAACAGAAAACCAATACAAATTGACAGAGACAGAGAAACACGCATTCACCCACACATACATAATTGAATACACACATGTACAATACATAATATTTTCATGAACCAGGCATCCAAATGATCAAGATGATGCCAATGACTGTCTTATGTTATTCTATTTTGACCACCCTAAACATTCATTTAGTGGATGACAAATAATAATATCAATCTATTATGATTGTTTTTCCTTTAAAATGACAAAATACTTGGAAACATGGATTACCAATTTTTTTTTTTTTTTTTTTGAAGCATTAAAAACATATTCAGTCATTAAATCAGGAAAAATGACCAAAAACGTGCGGAACTGAATTGTTGGATACCAACCTTAAGAATAAATCTTAACAGACCATTCTTATGGGCAACCAAATATAAGCTCTATGCCCCCAAAGAGATTACTCCGAATGCGCTTCCACCTTTTAGAACTGGATTCACATTATACAGAAGGATGAAATTTGAGGCCACCTTTAAAACCTGCAAATTGTTGAAAGTGAAGTTATGTAATATTAGCAAAATGATACATACGTTTGCTCCAAGTTTTTAATACTTGGGGTAGTAATAGTATTCTAAGTAGCAATCAAAATCTACAAATATTAGTAAATAATAATTTAATAGAAATAACTATACAATAAAATAAATAAATAAAAATACAATGAAATACTCATCTTTTAGGGCAAACAAGTAGGCCTTCATGGATGTTTTAGTAGAAACAAGATTTTTGTTTTGGAGGTGTAATCACTATGTATTATATCCTTAAAAATAAATTTCGCTTTTCGAAG